AAATCAGGTTCGCAATGTAAAACTGAATATTCACTGACAAAAAAATATATATTGAGATGCACCTCTAAAATCGATTCTTATTATATATCTCTCATTTCTTTCATAAGCTGCTTCCTTTCAGTTCTCAACATTCCCCTAGAATGTGTTTATTAAAATTTCTGTCTCAATTTTAGCTTGGAGCACTTACAATAAACAGACCGAAACTCGCTGATAGAATGAATTTCATACTACACGTTGACAGAGATACTGAACCACTTTCTTTGTAACTGCAGTTGGCAAATATCCTTTCGAAAATGTTAGGCATTCTGAGCAAGCTTAGCCGGCTCAATGAAGGTGTCTGTGCTGTTAGTCACCAGCTAAATATAATTAGGTATAAACAGATTAAATACAGATGCCGCTACATCTTTTGATTCCTGTCTTCAAAACCTCATTTTAAATAATTCTCATTTAAATAGCATCCACTAAGTCATCATTGTATTCACAGTTGTTCTTCCTCGAATCATATTGCAATCTGCTTGACCCACCACTAATTACCAAACTCTGAAATGCGAACTTCACTCTAGTGAAAGAGGAAATGTCTCATGAGGTAAGGATCATTAGTTCTGGGAAAACTGTGATACAATAGATGATTACGAAAAAAAGCCATGATATAACTAAAGCAAATCTCCACAGAACACCTTGCCAAATAGACTTAGCTGCTGCATTCAGTGAATACGTGAAGGCAGAGAAATCAGTTAGATTATGGCTGCTTGATCTTTTGCTAATAATTGGAAATATCCACATATAAATGTTTAATCGTTTCGAAGGATGGACAACTAAAATAACAAATCTGAAAACCACAATCATATCAAAGCTGTGCTACTCTGTGGATCGTCTGGCTCTCTTGATCAACTGCATTATGCACAGGCCTATCTTCTTGCAAACGCAGGACCTAACGATCAGCCAAAAGAAACGTCACACTTTTGAGTGTCTAACGTCTTGTTATCTTGTACCACATGTTAGCTTATCTCTTTAACTATCCCTCGTGCACCCCCGACCGCATAACATTTTACCCTCAGTCTGTTGGGCAGCGTTGCCACTGGTACTTACACTATAACAACAAAGATGACCAGGTGAGGTACGGTTATTTATTCAGGGTTTAAGAATAAGTCTAACATCTCTGTTTCCAGCTAGAGTATTGCAAAAATGCCTAAGATGACACAATACAGAGTAATGTTTACAACGTGGATCATCCATGTTAAACATCTTAACTGAATTTCCAAATAAATAAGAACTACACACTTCCACTTAGATCCCTACTTCTAGTAGGAATATCAAGCAAAAAAGAAATAGGAGAAAGGGCGTCCTCAACTCCCCGTGTTATAGACTACGACTAGGGAGAATCAGATCAATGGCAATTATTGCATCACATGTTCGTCACCCGTCAAATTCGGCGGCTCAGCATTTGAATGTAACTTACATAGTGGCTGGATTCACTGCCGCTGTGACACCGAAGTACATGATATGTACTAGGGATTTATGTTGAGTAACCTCTGCCCGTGGTTCTAGCATGTTGACCCGGTGTAGAAAAAGCAACCTTACTGTACTAAAAAACTAGAAGCATAAGACCTTATTGTAGACTACTGTATCTATCCTCACCAGAATATTCAAGTAATCAAACACATACCAAACTGAATACTCGACTGTGGTAGTGACAACCGGGCCTATATTAAGATAAGCTTATTGACTATTTCTCATGTCCCAGTATCTGTTGACAATATGAAATGATGGTTGTACATTGGGAGGGAATTGACAACAACACAGCTCCCAAAATGTAAAAATGGAAATAAATATACTAGCACTTTGAAATTATTCAATGTCCCAGCATTTCAGAGCAGCTTGCTAAAAAGTAAGACAGTCTTTAATAAGAAAAACAGTAGGGAAAATGCTATTCATTGTCGGGAAGAGAGCTATTTCAGCCGAACAATGCTCTCTATATAGCAGCCAAAACGTACCAAAAGACTGACTTTTACAGACATTTTAGAGGGATCCATAACAATCCTTTCAAACCAGAATTAGATGCAACATTTTATGGACAGTAAAAGATGGAGCCAGAAGATTAGCAAACACCCAAAGATCTACCAGTATGATGATTCACAAAGTGAAGGTCATAGTAAATGGTAGTCCTGTAGTATATGACTGCATTTCTGAAGAAATCTGAAATAGTATTTTAACAACAGTTGTGCACCAACAGACTGTTTGTGAATACTGATATTGTAACAAGGCTAACGAGTGAGATTCCAACAGTGGAGTTAACGATCACGTAGTACAGGTATTCACACCACCAGGGTTATTATCGTGCCCAGACTATTTCGTTCATTACATCTCAAAGCCTTTAAGAGCTTCCTTCTAATGTCTGTGCACTGAAAAACCGTAAGCACTTAACCGGGGCACTTCAGACCTGTTACAGCTTTAAAAACGACCCCTACAGTCACATCAGATGTCATGAAGGCCGACCGAGATTGGTAAGGCAATAGCAGAAAAGAGAAATAAAACAAACCTTGGTTTCGTTTGACTTTGATCAGCAGCTCATGGTACTGTGGTAGCGTCAAGTCGAGGACGGACTATGATCACCACTACAATTCGATTACGTGCTTAGCAACGACTTGGTTCCTTTGATTACTCGCGGACCAGAAGGCTTTAATTAATCCAAACAAAGTATATTTATTGGCGATTTCGTGGTATCGAAAGAATACCGAGACGTGCCGGAGAGAATGAACATCAAAAAGCGAACACCTAGGTACCCTTTTTTCCAACAAGGAGTTGCCTCTTTTAGGATCGCCCTTTCAACCGTCGTGACCACAGCTATCTAGATGAATAGCCTAAAGAGGATACTTGATTTACACGTACTTACCCATGGATGATTATCTCCCTATTGGAACAGCTGTGTGCGATGCATGTCTCATAAATAATCACGGTTATCAGCACTAAATGTAAATAAGTACTTCCCGTCTCTCTCATTATAATCTCCGTTTCACTTTTATCCTCTCTATTTCGTCTTCTTACTTATCATCAACCAATTAAATCATTTATTTATCATTTTTCCTTGGCACTTGGATCATCACTTTATTATTTTCAAATTAGAACCTACCTACCTCCTGCATGATAATGTAGTAGATACTTTTATCCAGAAGCTCTAGTTTCCTTTGACAAACGAACTCACCTAAACTCAAAGAAAAGGCAAATCCACAAATAAATGCCACATTGATTACAACTGTTGATATCGAATTACTAGAGTATCACTCATTCGGCATAACCAACTACCTACAGACGCGCTGAAATAATAAGAAATGAGCACAAAGAAATCTGTCAGTTCAGACAAATTTGTGGAAAATATATTAGATATTGGAAGTCATTTGGTATTGAAGCTTTTTTAAATGCACCAGTTTCACTTGAATAGGCACCAAATTAAAATAGTTTGCTGTTAACATTTTAAGGAGTGAGCATTGTTTACATACTGCTTAAAATCAGTCTCTATGTCATTTTGCAATATTCGTAATGCTTATTTGAAGCTCTCTCTATGTTTTTTGATTTGAACAATTTTACTTATTGATAACATGGGGTTTAGACAAAGCAGTCAAACTTTGATGTTGGGCAAAAAGAAACCTGATAATTTTCGCAATCAAAACTGTAAATAAGACAGCTGCGGCGTCTAGTTTTGGTGAAGTTTAGTACCCAATATTGGGTACTAAAGTGGAGAGATATCTCTCCGTTTTAGAAAAAATGTAGTTCATTTTGGGGAACTTTCGGGAATTGGTACAAAAATTTCAAGCCTTCACAGATGTGAGCGGATATTTTCATAATTTGGGTTTTTCTTGATATTTTCTCGACCGACCCGCTTAAAAGTTTCCAGCTGTTTGGAATAATCCTTTTTTATTCATTGATAAAACCCCATAATCTTTATTATTTTGAAGAATGCTCACAAATTTTCGAGTTTTATCAAATGTATCACTGAAAGTTTTCCCTCAAATGAAGCATATTTTATGATTTCGTGGCAATGCCACGCTACTTGTTAAGGATGTTTAAACCATATCATCTACATTAGATATTAGTGATTTCATCTTTTAGTCCCTACGATTCACGTGGTTATCTATATGAAGTAATAACCACAGAATAGATACTTTAGTTCGGTCATACTTAATATATTCTTAAATAAGTTGATGGGAAAATAGTCACTATCGTAGTTTAGCATCACTTGGTTAGTCAAGTCAGTCAGTAGATATTTTGGGGTTAAGTGCCTAGAATTTAGAAAAAAATCGATAAAATAAAAATTGTGTTCTCAGAAAGGCACTATGTGATCAAGATTCGTACCTAATACTCTTCTTCTTCTTCTTCTTCTTTCATCATGTAAAAATTCAGGTAAAATTTCAGACACACAGAAATTTTGACAAATCACTACACAAAATGTCACACAACAATAAAGTATGCTTTTAGATCAATTATTTTCTTAAACTTTTTATGCCTGACTTTAGACTTTCTGAATACCTTATAATGTCAATCTGTAAAATTAGGCAGAGTCTCCCTGTTGATGTGTAATATAACTGGCACTGGAGGATATAATATTTGGGCGTACGAACACACTGAAATATGAGTAAGCAGGGCCTAGTAAATCATACTATAATAAACTTCATTACATGGGTTTGTGTTAACATATCAGTTAAAATAGTTAGCTGATACGATTCTTCAACCAAATTTATTGTTTTAATAAATAACACCTTAAGATTTTCAGTATTCATGTGGAGTCAAACGAATCCAGTGAATATGTTGACTTATCAACCCACGTTACTATTAAAAATATAACAGAAAATCACTTATTGGAGAGCCGTTGAAGATGTTTTAATTCGCCATTCTGGTTAACATTTAAATATTAAGTAATGGTTTGTCGGCAACTCTACTAAATAAAATGTCTTTTATACGTTTCAGGGGAATCCTTCAGATATATCCTAATATTCAGTGTCCTGATGGTAGACACGAATAGGAACTATACAGAATGTCACAAGCCTTTAAAACAAGGCAAACGATTTTCAAAGCACTTCGCTTCAGAGTGGTCAGACAATGAAGAAATGTATTCAGATTGTTGTGAACAAGTGAATAAGCAGAAATGCCTATATTATATACATAAATTGTTGATTCTTTTAGAGATATTAACAATAAGCATTACATTTTTGAGCCCTTTCTTAATACTGGCTTTACCAAACATTCATCCATCTTGGTGGTTTTCACTGCTTCCACCTTCGGCTGTGACATCAACCCCTTCAATATCACCAAGGAAGGTTATGCACATACGCAGTAAAATAAATGCGAACTCTGTGATTTCTCGTCGAATTGATAGAAGAACTGAAGTTTACTATGAAGTGAAAATTATTGAATTGTGCACAAAAATCTTATTATTATTTTTGTGTTCAAGTTATATATACGCAACACGGTTTAAGGAATTATTATTTTGTATGCACAATAGAAAACCTTTTATATCATATTCACGTCTAACTGGATACAAACGATACCAACAATCAGAAATGGCGAAAACTGTATCTTCAATAGTTCACTTGAGTTGGCCACAAAGCAAAATAAAACAAAGTTTGGCCTTCAATTTCTTTATTGATTCAATAACTGTTATTGTAACGTTTTCATTTTGGCTTATATTTTTGTCTCACTGGAAATCAGATAAAGATGCTATGACTTTACCTAACGATAGTGATGAAAGTTTAAATTACAAATCAAAACCATGCGGCTATCTTCAACACACAGTTCAGCTAACAAATCCATTTGGTCATCGAGATCCTGGTGGATCGAATTTATGTGACGAAACAAAAAGAATATACATTGACCAACAGTTGAGCAAGCTAAAAACAATCGCTTTAGACTTATCTGTAGATTTTGTGAATGTACACCTATCCATACAGTTAACTGCTATACTCCTCATAAAATTTAAAACAATTTTAGATTGGTTATCGTGTAAATATAATGTACATGTGGTACGCGCACAAGATGGTTTTTCATATAATTACAAAATTGGTTCAGTCAACTTGAAATCCATAGCTAATTATATTATAAAAAACGCATTAGTTGATTTTAAGGTTAGTTTTTTTATTGTGTTGTTTGTGTGCTTTACGGCGAATATTCGTCAATATTAACTTAGCTGTCGAAATATCTTTTTGTATGATTAACAATTCCCCATTATTTACTCTCTGGATTTCAACTGTACATTTCAGAATTTCTAGCAAATGAACAATCTGTTAGGACGAAGGATTATGTAATGCGTAAAATGCTTTGCCTCTATCTAGCTGAGATAAGTGACAAAAAGCCCTAGAATTCCATTTTGTGTTTCTCGCCGAAAAAAACTACTTTTATAGTTTGATTTCATGTCTTTGAGTATTCACTAGTATAGAAATCTCTTTTCCAACTACTTGATTAACTATACCTTATTGATTATGAAATCTGGCGGAACTAGTGATTGGTTGACGTGACTGACAAGAACATAAAGAGAATATTTCTAAGGCAATTTTCTCGTTATTTGATAATCGTACATAGGGATCCTGATGATTCTATTAAACCATATGTTGCTTTTTACGAGTAAATATATATCCTTCTCAAGTAATCTGAAGTCAACGAGTGAACTAAATTTAGAAAAACTGAAAGAAATTGGTTTATGATGGGTGAAAATATAGCTGTGGATGATTATGTAAAGTAAAAGATGGGAAAGTCTTCATTTCTCAATATTGTTTATTCCCAAGCGTTTAATCTGATATTTCTATTTAGTAACTCTTTTAAAGTCTACTAATTTATGGGTAAAAAGTAATTGCTTCAAGTAATAATAAGACTTTTGGTTTCGTCTTTTAAATGTGAAAAATTCTTTTCTTTGTAAGTTGCTTTACCTTCTGGTTCGTTTATTGACCAACAAATCGACTTTTAATAACACTTGTGTCATCAAGTTGTATCTGATAAAACGTCCGTATCACAGAGTTTATTTGAAAGTTTTGATAAAACAGTGAACGTTTGTTTTATTCCGCTTATCAGGCTAAAGAATTAGCAAACCTTTTGCCCAGTTTGAACTGAATCATCGTACTATGTTGTTAACTTTGCCCTGGTAAAACAAGCTAACCATATATTACAAAGATTTCTTTCTAATAATTATTACTGTGGTAAAGTACTTTTAATCACATTAAATAACGATATTATACTAATGAGCAATATGCTTTAATCTATTATGCACTTGTCCACTGTAAAATATAATTTTATGTGTTTATCTATTTTAATATAAAACTGAAAACTATGATTAGTAATGAAGACCCTTTTGATTTGGGGTTGGGATTAGTTTACATTGTAATCTTTTACCTTCCCTTTTGGTCAAGTCAGCTAGCAGATTTAATAAGTCCACTAACAATTTAAGCTCACAATTTATTTAGTGATGATATCATAAGCCTAGAAATCAACCTAAATGGTTGCCCACATAAAGTTCTATCTCTTCACGTCCGTTGCAGTAAATAGATCTTATCTGCATAATCGAAACGATTTGATAACTATAATTATGTGAAATGTTTGAGAGTTAGAGGCTAGGATTTTAGTCATCATTTCACAAAGTAACTCATAGATAACATGGAAGCTTTAGAGTTCCAGCCATTTTTACAAAAAATTTAAACATTATAATCTACATATACACTAAGATCAACACTGTAGTCAAATTTGGCAGTTGGTAGATATTTCGTAATTTACAATTGATTGACCACTGAGTGGTGATTAGTGTTATGTATTTCAAGTTCAATTACTGCTGACCGAATTCTATCGATTACGTTGTAATATAGCAATTAGTTTAAGTTACCGGATATCATGTACACTATATTGAGATATCAGATGATTGATCAAATGGCAACCTAATCGACACAATTCGGTCGGCATAAAGAAGGACTTGACATACATGGTATTGATTACTATTCAAGAACCATTCAATTGTAGTACATCTCAGTCAAACGGGAGGTCAGTCGTACCCAGAATAATTAAGCGACACTGACTCTGATTGCAGCTACTTTTATGGATTACTACACTTGGTTCCACTAACAGATTACGAGCAGGCAACATTGATCGTCTTAAAAATCACAAGAATTTAAAATTATTATTTATACACAATAGTGTTAGGGAATAACATAAATTATTTCATCTTGTACATTTTTTCTTCTATGTATTCATTCCTGTTATGCTAAAACTTACTTATATTAACTAGTTTCAAGGAATGAAATTGTGAAATACACATAAATATATATCTATTGAAACACATGTAAACACTTTTTGTGAGTAACATATGGCTAATTTAATGAATAGTCAAATTGTAATTCATTCCCTACATTCTTAGACAAATTTTTTAATTAGCCAATAAAATGACTCATATGAACACCACATCTTTTATAAATTATAAAACATAAATAATTATTGTGCATCTTACTTCTTGCACAAAAATGTTCAGTTTAGTTTCGGTAATTTTTAGCAGATGCTCTATAATATGACTTCGTATAAATGTGAAACTCTACCAAAATAAGTATGACCTAATGTTACTTTAAATACATTATTTGTTGAGACGATCCAAGAACAGAAGGTAATATGTGAATTATATCATGATTAACGGAAAGGACTGTATAATATCATATTTCACAGACAAATAAACTTATATCTATCTCTTAATATACTGACATTATATATAATCAGACAAAATTACACATCATTTTAGATCTGTGGGTTTCTCACTAATAAAGATAAGTCCGTAAAAACACTTTACCTAACTTGAACCCTGGGGAAAATACTTAAATTTATTGTTTTTCTTTACTAGGCAAACACAAATTGAATTGCGGTAATATTGTTTTTTAAGTTGCATTCTTCTTCGATGACATGATATTTCCACCTAAATTACAAGGATAAATGTTATCATAGAAAAGATCAGTTCTTTATTATGCAAACAGGACCGACATCATCTTGCATTACTATAACCTTCTATACATAATACTAAATTAACAATACAGTGTAAACTATATTATCCACTCATATTGCCCGAATATAGTGGCTAGTTTATAAATTCGATACTTCTAATAACTATCTCATTTAGATTTAATGTTATGCCTACCATAGATTTCACTGATTTTTCATATTATACTGGCAGTCGTTGGTAATGACAAAATATGCTTTAAGAGTAGAACTATTAAAATGGTGCTATGATGGTATATTTAGAATCCAAGCTAAATTCAAAATCACTTAAACTTTAATGTTTACTATATATATCCTGATAAAAAAATTGTTTTTCCATGCATGATCTCGTAAACTGTGTTTGGTATCTAACATATTCTGTTATAAAACATCTAGATGCTCATTGTATACATAATTTCAATAAGGTTACTTTTCAATTGAATATTTTTAAAATAATACTAAGTCCATGCTAAGTCTAAGTTTTGCATTAACTTATTTATCAAGTAAAGTACAAATATTTATATTTTTCACAGGAAAGAAAGGATAATTTATTTGTTTTTTTTATCTCCTTGGTAAAGCTGTATACATTCGATAGAATGTGTAAATTTTTATATGATTTCTTAAAAAAAATTTGTAATAGATAACAATAATCGGATTAAATTTTCTCTTTATAAACGAAAAAACAGGTGTTTTATGTTAAATTATGTATATGAACACAATGTTATATGTATTGGTGATTTTTTTCATATGTCACTTTTTTTTCCTTCAAAAGAACAAGTTGCAATCAGTATAACCGAACCTGATCTTTTACCATAAACCCTCAGAACTAGACAATTGTTCAATATGAACATGCTGATTTGTAACCAATACATTCTGCTTGGTATTTTTGTTTGAAGCATAACCAATATATAAACCAAACAGTTTCTGTAATAGAAACAGAAACGGGTTATTTACAATTAGCAGTGCGCATCCACGACCTCGCTTTGCGAGATTCGAACCCAGGACTTACCAGTCTCGCACCAGAGCACATAACCGATAGATCATTGAGGCGGTTAAGTGCTCTGTCGCGAGACGGATAGGTCCTGGTTTCGAATCTCGCGAGGCGAGGTCGTGGATGAGCACTGCCGAGGAGTCCCATAATGGGACGAAACGGCAGTCCAGTGCTTCCAAGTTTTCCTTGGTGGTCTAGCTTCAATTGGCTCATGCTTTCAACTATGCAATTACTAAATCTCCACAAAAACCCCTTCGGATTACTTACAATTAATCTTACTATTTTCAACAATTATTGTTTCAATCGTTCGACAAAATAAATAAAATACGTTTTACTGGATGTAGTTATGATGAAATCATTAATATTGATGATGATTTTATAGTATAATCTCATCACTGTATTTCCACTATTGAAATAAAACCAAACTACATAATGTTTTTCGTTCCTTGTTTTTATTATAAATAAACGTTTTTTCTGTTTACTATATATTCTATTGTATTTCGTGTCTAATGGAAAAAAAATATCAAATATAGTCGGTTCACTTTGCTATCATTTCTTTGTATGTTGAAATATTTATGGATGGCAAACATACACACACACATTGCAAAGACATCTAAACAAACACTTATGCGTAAGGAGATATAGAGTTGAACAGGTGTAAATACTGTCTTCATAAATACACTGACAATAATAAAATCTAAAATCATGTAAGCCATCTTTTACTATGTTATATGTACACCAAAATTGATTATTAATTTCCGTTGAACTAGCCTTTTATGTATGACAAAAAAGGAATCTCCTATGCAAAATAAATATAATTCATAATAATAATAATATTGAGATTAGTTATTTCTGTTCCATGAACAACTGTTTTTAATTAATAAATCTGGTCATCGAAATATTTTTTTAAATAACCAAAAGCCAGAGGTTCTTATACTGGTTTGTTTGTTAAGATCTTATTTTCGTTCACCCGAAATTTCAACAATTTTGTTGTGCATTTGAAGTTGCGCGGTAAATTTGAGCATAAAAAGGGATTGCTCTTAAACTCCAAATACATGCACGATTAATCATACAAATTGAATGAAGGAACAGACTTCTACGAATTTTAAGATGTATTCATATTTCAATGCTCAGAAA